ACTAGAAATCAAGGAGCAAAAGAAAAACATAACAGAAACAGAAACCTAACAATTCTGACATTTTTAATTGAAAAACTTTCCTGGATGGGAAACGAAATTACTTTAATCTTGGAAAATAAGTCCAGTGGATTGTCCAGGCTGATCTTTGTGATTTTTCGTATTTGGTTTCTCATGTTTACCAGCTTAGGACATAAAAACTGATGAGACTAACAAGCCCAAACAGCACTAATAGTGAAAAGTTGTAACAATGTACAATCTACTACTAAATAATCAATCATTTCTCTTTGAGTTTGTTGAACTAACGCCGCCTGTTCCCCTCTGTTTCCTTTACAGCAGGACACTCGTGAATATGAAGTATCAATATGAGACATTTCTAAAGAGACTAACCACCCAGTGCTGACACCTCATCTTCCCTCCCTGACCCTTTCAACCCAGGAGGAGGCCATGTAAATACAAATAATGATGTCCAGCCCCTCCCTGCTACAAGACACAGTTACTCATCCTGTTCTCCCCTTCTTTGATGTGATAGCTTTTGTAGATGTAAACGGACACTGAAGAGTACGCAAAGAGATATTAATACAAGCCAGTGACACATCAGTGGGAGACCATATGGACAGTAATGAAGGAAGATGTCGGGGACACTATACAGCAGGAAGAATGTGGAAATATGGGGGTCAGAACTTGTTTCTTTGGGAAAATCATAGAAGTTAGATTTTTAAGCATTATGATTTAGACTGAAGCCCATTTGTAATTCAGCCACTGTCAGATTGCTTTTTTTTTTCCCCTGTAGAAACCAATTCATGTATTTTGTAGTTATATTTGCTACTGGAGGAGGTCAACACTCCTGCGCTTCATTCCAGAGTGTTTACATGCAAGAGATCCACAGGAAATAATATTAATATGGGACTGAAATGTGTATCTTTGAAAAAAACTGCAAAATACCCAATTAGAATGTAAATATTACAAGCTGGTTGAAAGAGATAAAAAGCTGCTGGAGTCTATTACACTGTAATTATGACACTGTAGGGGGGCTCTGATTTCGCTGCCAAATGTAAATAATATATGATTAATTCTGAAATATGAATTGGGAAGGGAAGATAGTTTGGTGCCGGTCGGGAAGTGGCCTCTAAGTCAAACCAGTTCTGAAGCTTACCTGGTTACCTGCATGTAACTCTTTAGAGCGCTTTCAAAGATGTCGATATGTTCATACACACAGACATGCTTCTTTAAACAGAGGTTCAAATACGCATGGACTTTGGGTTTTTGCAAAATGTTCTGTCTAATCTCAGTGGGTAGCTTACCAACCTTGTTCCTGATGCTCTACCTGCTGTTACAACGTTTCTTGTAATGGATCTGAAAAAAGAATGCACACCCTCGTTACATTTCCAGATGTTTGCTTCTCAGCAACAGCAGTGACCCGGTAATATTACTTAATCGTATGCTGCGCTATGCAGACATCTGCACGGATAAAGACTCCCTTGTGTTAGCATGCAGAATACTTGGAGTGATTCATTTATGATACAACCCCTATAGATCATTAAACTTTAATGAACGGTTGATTCTTTAATATATCAACCAGCAAACCACTTCCCTTCATGTTTAGGCTCCATCAGCTGAAGGAACAATGATACAATACAAGCATATATATGGATACAGATGGAATTTATAAGGAGCTTTTGTTGTGACACTATTGCCACATTCACCCAAATGACTATAAAATGATAAAATAACGATACACAGATCAGAAGGTATCTTGGGGTTAAGTACCTTGCCCAAGGACACATCGACTTTTGACAAAAGGAAGCTAGAATTTAACCTACGGTTTTTGCATTTTACTAAGACTACTGTTTCCATTTAAGGCACTCTGTTTGTTTTCTAAATCCACCACAACTTGTATCCAC